GTCTTTGGGCCAGAAAGTTACTCTCCTGGCATATTCAAGGCCAGAAGGGTCAGAGTGTTTTCAAAACCCTGTGTAGGTATTGTTTCAGCTTGTCTAGAAGGGATTAGGGGAAAATACTCAAACTCTGAAAAGTTGCCTGTAATTTTTCACTTCAGGGCATTTTTTATTTTATGCTGTTTTTTAGGCCTCTATCCTTTCCCTGGTGACAAAAATAAACAATGTGATTGACAATTTGATTGTGGCTCCAGGGACGTTTGAAGTGGTGAGTCTTTAATGATTTAGTCATAGAAAAGGGCAGCCTTGGTTGTGCGGAAGTTTCCTTAATCTCCAAAGCCAAGTTTGAAATGGAAAGGAAAGTATAGTGGGATTCCTTTCTACTAGTGGTGATCTCAGGGATAAAACTTGTGTTACTGCTATCAGCTAGCCATACTGTATCAGGAGTTTCATGTGGTTGTTTTGGGATATCATCTGACCTCTGCTACTTCCAGTTCTGGGTAATAATTGTGTTGTCATTGATTTCTGAGAGGAATTAGGCCATCTTTCACTTCTACATTCCCCCCCTCCCCCCCCCCCCGAAATCCCTTTTCCAACAGCAAATTGAAGAAGTCCGACAAGTGGGATCATATAAAAAGGGAACAATGACAACCGGACACAACGTGGCCGACCTGGTGGTAATCCTAAAGATTCTGCCAACATGTGAGTGCACCTCTTTCTGGCCACAGGAGCAGAAAGTTGCATTTGAGGCATAGGGATCTTTAAAGCCCCAATCTCTTGCAAGAAAAGTTGTTTGGAAAACGAATGGGGAATTCATTTTTTTTAATGTATATTGGGGTAATAAAGGACAAAGTCTGGGCTGTGTGTCTGAAAGAATGTATGGCCAGTTACTACAGGGCAGCGTTTCTCAACAGGGGGTGGTTTTGTCCCTCATGGGACATCTGGCAGTGTCTGGAGACATTTGGGGCTCCTGGCATCAAAGGAGTGGAGGTCGGGGATGCCGCTGAGTACCCTGCAGTGCACAGGGTGTGCCTTACCTCCAGCCCCGCATGGCATTAGTGCCACTGACAAGAAACTCTCCTATAAAAGGATGTGGGTATAGGAGGTGGCCTATTCCCTGAGACTTCCTGTTTCTCTGTTCAAGTGTTAGCTTTCCCTTGTAAAAGTGTTTATTCTGTTGCTTGCCTTTGCTCCAGCCTTGTACATGGGGCACAAATCGGTGTGGAATACCATAGAGATGTACAGAAAGTATGTGAATAATCACATTGCTCATGGTCTCCTTTTCTCTCAATCTAGTGGAAGCTGTTGCTGCCCTAGGGAACAAAGTTGTGGAAAGCCTAAGAGCACAAGATCCTTCTGAAGGTTGGTTTGAGTTTGTTGTTGGACATGTATTCAGCAGGAGCCGGGTCAATAATGACAACTACACTTTTAACAAAGGTCAGGCTAGAAAGAAGAGTGAATGCAGAGATTTTTTTTGTTACTGTTTATTTTTGAGGGGCGGGGCAGAGAGAGAGGGAGACAGAGGATCCAAAGCAGGCTGTGTGTGCACTGACAGCAGAGAGCCCGATGTGGAGCTTGAACTCACCAACAGCGAAATCATGACCTGAGCTGAAGTTGGTGCTTAACTGACTGAGCCACCCATTCTGAGCCAGCCGCCTCTTGAATGCAGAGTTCTATGTTGCGGAAGTTTTTGCAGTGATCTCCAGTGTCTGATACCCAGTTCATCTCCATTACTTTTATTTATTTTTTTATTTTTCTGAAGTTTATATTTAAGTAATCTCTGCACCCAGTGTGGGGCTCGAACTCGTGCCCCAGAGGTCAAGTGTCCCATGCTCTTCCAACTGAGCCAGCCAGGCGCCCCATCTCTTTCTTATAAAAGTATTTTGAATCCTTATTCTGGACTCTTGCTGTTTTTAGAAACCTATCTGCTCTCCTACTTCAACCCTATATTTACCTCTGGTCATCTAAGGGAGATGGGGGCATTACAGGTTTTGATTTTTTTTCAGTTTTGACCATGCTGACCAATGAAACTGGTTTCGAGATCAGTTCCTCTGATGCTACAGTGAAGATTCTCATTACAACAGTGCCACCCAATCTCCGAAAACTGGACCCAGAACTCCACTGTTAGTCCTTTTTTTCCATTTCTGGGATACTTGGGGGAAATTCAAAATATGGTATAAGACAAGGTTGCTGCTGAGTGTTTAGCTAGTTGCTATTCCACGTGAAACCTTCTGGACCTAAGTTGACCCCCAAACTTCACTATCTCCCTCTGTAATTTGGAGACAGTTTTACTAGCTTGCCAGTGAAACTGTCAGACAGGATGGCCAAGAAAGCAAGTGGATTGGAGGACAGTATTTATGGAGGGAATGGGCTCTTGGAGAAAGTTGTGGATCTTGCGTGCTTACAGATTTGGTTTAGGGGAGGAATAGTGATTTCTGGACAAGTGATTTGCTGGTCTGAGGAACCTGGGGTGGTTTAAGAAATTACAAGGAGGCTGAATTGCTTGCTTAGTAACAGGAGTGTTTCATTGTGGCCTGTTCTGCTGGTCTTGTAGTGGACATCAAGGTGTTGCAGAGTGCCTTAGCAGCCATCAGACATGCCCGCTGGTTTGAGGAAAATGCTTCTCAGTCCACGTGAGTTCCTTGCTATTTGAGTTTAAATAACCTAATTATTCTAATTATACTGAATAGCAGGATACCTCCATACTTCCTCTGTTAAAACTCTTTGGCTATAATTGGCCAGGTTTCTTTTTTTTTTTTTTTTTTTAATACACCTTATGTAAGCAAATTAAAAGGTTTTTTTGTTTAACATTCATTTGAGAGAGAGCATGCCAGTGAGTGGGGAAGGGGCAGAGAGAGAGGGAGACACAGAATCCAAAGCAGGCTCAGGCTCCAGGCTGTCAGCACAGAGCCTGATGTGGGGTTTGAACCCATGAACTGTAGTATCATGACCTGAGCTGAAGTCAGACACTTAACTAAGCCACCCGGGTGCCCCTAAGTAAGCAAATTTAGATCGAGAGAAACAAAATGTGTAGTTTTAGAAATAACAACAGCTCTGTACCTCAGGGATGGAAGTACATGATGTTATTTTAATTCCTGGGTTCCTCTTACTTTCAGAGTTAAAGTTCTCATCAGACTGTTGAAGGACCTGAGAATTCGTTTTCCTGGCTTTGAGCCCCTCACACCCTGGATCCTTGACTTACTTGTAAGTAAAGGGCAGTTGGAGTTCCTGGTCACCTCTATTTAACAGCAGTTATTCTGAAACCGACCAGGATCGGAAATTTGGTGAAGCTGAAAATCAGTCTCATGGTGGGCAATAATTCAGTAAATACATGGTGTTTATTACTTCGTTGGGTTTTTAGAGTTTCAGTTGAATGAGTAATTTTACTGTCCCTATTCCTCTTTGTTACTGATGTAATTTTAGTAATGAGATAATGAGAAATCAGTGAATGAGCAGCTAGTTCCAGAACTGCTTCTGAATATGAACATTTTACTTAGACTTCAGTAATCTGTTTTGTGAATATTTGAGGTTTCAGTTTGTTTGGCTAGAATTGTCAAGTTTATGGCACACCTACCATGTTGATTATTTTCCAGGGGCACTATGCTGTGATGAACAATCCCACCAGACAGCCTTTGGCCCTAAACGTGGCATACAGGTACAGCATGCTTCTTTGGGTTTGGGGCTGGGTGTAAGAGGTCTTGTGTGTTTTTATTTTTAAACGTTCTCGTGTGCTTCAGACGTTGCTTACAGATCCTGGCTGCAGGACTGTTCCTGCCAGGGTCAGTGGGGATCACTGACCCCTGTGAGAGTGGCAACTTCAGAGTACACACAGTCATGACTCTGGAACAACAGGTATGGGGTCAGCTCTGCAATTGCGTGTTGTGTCCTACTCTTGAATACTCCAGATCAGAAGGCAAAGGCAGTGTGGTCTTTAGGGGTCAGGGATTTGGGGGTTCTCACAAACTTTGGTCTTGAAATTAAAGTTGTCCTCAACTGTTTTCATGAGAATATTCATCAGATACGGTACTTTAACTCCACTTTCTAGTTTACTCTCACTCTGCTCTCCTTTAGGACATGGTGTGCTACACAGCTCAGACTCTGGTCCGAATCCTCTCACATGGTGGCTTTCGGAAGATTCTCGGCCAGGAGGGTGATGCCAGCTGTGAGTGATCGTTGTGGGTCAGGGGATCTTTATGGTACTCTACTCTACAAAGCTCTACACTATTCAGATGTGTTACTATTTCTACTGTGTAGGTTAGGACTTGCATGCTGGGCTAGTTGCCTGAAATCGCGTTTTTTTTTCCAGATCTTGCTTCTGAAATCTCTACCTGGGATGGAGTGATAGTGACACCTTCAGAAAAGGCTTATGAGAAGCCACCAGAGAAGAAGGAAGGAGAAGAAGAGGAGGAGAATACGGAAGAACCACCTCAAGGAGAGGAAGAGGAAAGCATGGAGACTCAGGAGTGACCTTCCTTCCTATCTTCATCCCCTTTCTTGTCCAAGGTGAAGACTGGAGCCCAAGCTAACTGCTGCTGGACTTCACGTGGTGGCATTTCTGAGGGAAAAGGGAGACAGGAAGGAAAAGAAACTATAGAAGGAAGTGTCATTCCACTGGGTTCCACTTGGCTCAACAGACAGAAGTCTCCCATTTACGACCTATGCCTTCCATCTATAGTGAAGCAGGAGACCAGCTTTTCTTCCTAAGACTTCAGAGTCCCCAGGTCCTGGAAACCTCCCTCAAACAGTACTTTGTTGTTGAAATGTTGTGAACTGTTAGTGTCTGGAATTTTTTTTTTTCCTGAGAAAAGTGATTAAAGTACTTCCTCGTAGGGCTCTTGCTCGTTTTTCCTTGGCATCTGGCAACCTTTTTTGCTTTCTGTACTTTTCAATGAAAGTGGTATTTGAGTCTTCTCACTGTAAACACTAGATCACAATTTAAGCTGTATCTGAATTAAAGTTTCTACAAAGATTCTTGGAACCTTTCCATATACCAGAGTAAACTAGAACACTGTTTAAGCATTTATTGAATGAAATGGTTCTACCAATACTGCTACTGTATTCAAGCCCAGTGCAATCAACAAAAGAGGGTAGACAGAGGTCATTACCTTGACTTTGCCTGCCCTTCAAATCCTCAGTGTAAACAAAAGAAAACACGTCACAGGTAGAAGACATGCAATGGAGGAAGCCCCTCATTAACTAGGCTTGAAGGTAGAGGAGCTGGGCCTTGAGAATGTAGGTTTTAAAAAGGTAGAGTCCTCAGCCCATTCTTGGAAGCAAGAGCCATAATAAATCCTTTGGGATCATTAGTCCTGCTGTACACAGGTTTCTTTGGGCCCCATATAAGTGGGTAAGACTTAAGTGCTTCAGACAGAAACAACTGGGCTGCCTGTTGGATGTCCCAAGGTCTACAGGGAGTTCCTGGACGAAGCAAGGCAGCTGGGGAAGAGTACTTGTGCTATTACGGGGCCAGGCATGAGCCCCATCTTCTGGCCTGTTTACTTGCTCGGGGAACCAGAAGGGTAAACTCCTGAATCCAGCATTGCCCTCCTGCGGGCTGTTTCCTTGGCAACACTGTGGTTTAGTCGCCTCAGCCGTTCCTACAAGACAAGATTTGGAATCCTAACTGCTCCATGTAAAGCTTTAGAACGCCCTGTCTGCTAGATGCGGGAAAATACCCTGGCCTCGCTCCCTCTTGATGTAAGTCCTCTAAGGTGCGAAGAACATTAAATGAGGGCAGCTGGGTATGGAGAATGAAGATGATAAGATTATGGCTGACACTGGTTGACAACTGTCTTTCCCCAAAGACTAAAAATCACAGTGACTTTTATGGTCATCCCTTGAAAATGAGAATACCCTGAGGACTTCTAAAGGATCACTGTTCACAGGGAATTCCTTTACCTGCGCATTCTGCAGAATGTTGTTGACCAAGACAACTCGTCGCCGGGCATTAAGCAGCTTCTTGACATAGGGGTCGAGATCCAGGGCCACTTTCTGATCCTCGTTGATTCGGCACAGCTCTGGGGGATGGAAGTAAGCTGCAAACTAACACCTAATGGCTCCTCGTTCTTGGGGAAGGCAGGCTGGTAAGTGGGATGAAGACACGCCTGCACCCACATGGGCCGGTCACTAGAAACTTAGGGAAGCAGGAATCACTGGAGCCCTGATGTCCTGGAAGCACACGACACAAACCCACCCGGAGGTGGGCTAGACACGAGGTCCTAAAAGCGAGCTGCAGGATCGCGGGAATGCAGGGATGCTTACTCACCAGTAGCCAAGTTGTCAATTTGCTCCCGGAGCTCTACCTGGCTCTCTCTGCAAAGAGTTACGAGGCCTACGCGGTCAGTTCATGGGACTCAAAGAGCCGACTCCCCTACAGGCTTCCCGAGACCTGAGCCAAGCCAGCCTAGGCCCGCAGCCTCCCGCCAGCCCCGCCCCTTCCGGACCTGGCCCCGCCCCTTCCCGGCGCCCCCTGCCTCCCACAGCCAAACCAAGAGGCCCCACCCCTCCCTTCCCTCTCGGACCTGACAGCGTGGACGTGAGAGTCCAGCTGCTGCACAGCCGGTCGCAGGAACTCGAGGAGCCCCTCGGCGAAGAGATCGCGGCCTGCGGGACCCGCCACGGGGGTCCCTGCCCGAACACAGCAGAGACCAGCCCCAGACCATCATAGCAGCCCGCCGAGAAACATTGCCGCGCAGGCCTGGGGACTGGAGCCGAGCTGAAGCGCGCCGCCAGGGGGCGCCCGGCAGAGCTGTGGGCGGGACCAGCGGGGCTTTGGAACCAGTCTCTCGCCACTGCGGCGGCTATGGGCGAGCTGTAGGTCCTCGGAGGCCCCAGAGGGTGCTGTTGGCGGGTGGGTCTCCAGACTTCCGCGGGCTGGGAGGAACCATTTTGGGGGCGCCTATCTTTGGTTTTCTGCAAAAGTAGGCAACAAAAAGCCTCTCCAGGTTGTGCAAGGGCCCTCTCCTGTTAATTTGATGAGAAAACCAGATTGTATTCCTAGTATAGGTTCCTGTTTCTAAATTTGAGAGTGGTATTTAAGGGCATACGGTATGTATAAACTGTAGGAATGGCGCCTGGTTGCCGCTCGATCAGGCTCTGTCCGACAGCACGGAACCTGCTTGCAGGATTCTCTCTTCTGCCCTTCCTTTACTCTCTCTCCCAAAATAAATCATAAAAAACAAAAACAAAAAAAAAAACTTGCACGAACAATCTATCAAGTCTCAAAGAGATGATTTTTTTTTTTTTTTAGAGGTTATGTATTTGTTTTGAGAATGGATCTTAGCTCACACTGTCAGCGCGCAGAGCTTGACACCGGCAGGCTTGAACTCAACAAACCTGAGGTTGTGACTTGGAGTCTCGACTTGTAGTCGAAAGAGTCTGATGCTTAACCAACCAACTGAGCCACCCGTGCCTGGTAAAAAGGAATGGAGTTCTGGCACAAGTTCTCCAGTGGTGAAACTCTTGGGAGAACATCTGCGCTGGGAAAGAGTTGAGAAACTTAAGACACATACTGTCTGAGTATACAAGAAAAGTGCCAGAGCAGTCCAATCTATGGACATGATTTCTTCTATCAGCACAGTGTAGTGAGGGGTGCATGGAAGGAAGGGAATGAGGAGTTACTGTTTCATGGTGAGTCTGGATGGGAGTTGATAAAAAAGTCTAAAAGAAGTAATGATGATGAAGCCTACCAAATGCCACTGACAAATACATCTTTAAAAATGGTGAAAAGTGGTGCTCTAGGTGCCTCGGTTAAGCACCTTGACCCCAAAGCTCAGGGTTACTGACTTCATGGATCTGAACCCCACTTGGGCTCTGACATGGACAGTGAGAGCCTGCTTTGGTTTCAGCACTCTTTCTGCCCCTCCCCACGCTTCCTGAAAAACAATGACAGTGAGCTGAAATTTTATGTGCATTTTGCCACAGTAAAAAGCAAAATTTGACCTACATGTAAGTTTTCATATTAAAAAGTTTTTAAATTTTTATTTATTTATAGAGGAGAGAGGGTAGCGGAGAGAGAGAGGAGAAGCAGAAGGAAGAACTGAGAGATCAGCAGGCTCAATGAGTCTGTCAGCAACAGAGAGCCTGATGCAGGGAACAGCCCATGAACGCAGAGTGGGGAGATCATGACCTGGTGAAGTCGATAGCAACCCACTGAGCACCCAGGCAGCCCTCCCCCCCCAGCCAAATTTTTTTTAGTGTTTATTTTTGGGAGAGAGAGCGGGGGAGGGGCAGAGAGAGGGAGACAAAGTCAAGCAGGCTCCAGCACTGGAGCTGTCAGCACAGGAGCCTGATGCAGGGCTGAACTCACAAGACTGTGTAGATCACAGACATGCAGCTGAATCGACATTCAACTTCAACTGAGCCTCCGAAGCATCCCCACTCCAATTCTTTTGTTTAATGTTTCTCTATTTTTGAGAGAGAGAGAAACAGAATGCCAGTGGAGGCAGGGCAGAGAGACATTGAGGGGAACAGGCGGAACATGGCTCCAGGCTCCTGAGCTGTCAGCACAGGGAGCCATTGAGGCAGAACCCCATGAGCCATGGGATCATGACCTGAGCTAAGTCAGACACTTAACCAACTGAGCCATCCAGGCACCTGTGTTTTTTCCTTCCCTTAAAAAGCTTCCTTAGTTTTGTTGCATTTTTCATGCCTTTCCAGAGAGTTTACATACATGTCTTGAATTCTCAACATGAGACCCAGTCTCTTAAGCTCCAGTGCGTTCCAGCGGCTCGCAGTCCTGTGGGCCGTGGGGTGCAGTGAGTGCAGAAGTGCTCTTGGACGGCAAAGGGGTCCCCAGACATAGATGGCACCAGATTGTTCGGCCTCGAGCTTCCTCCTCAGGAACAAAAGAGGAGGTGTTTAAATCGCTGTGGAGGAGTGGTGGTCCACAGCTGAAAACCCGAGGCCCCAAGTGTGATCCCTTTTAAAGCCTTGTACACTTTTTGTCGTGTTGTCTTTGTCTTCCTGTATCTTTCCCTCTAGTGATCAGAGCTGAAAGTCTCAGGAGAGGCTGCAGGCTTATTATGGGAGTAAGCGACGGGAAGGGGTAACTCTGGTACCTGCAGCCTGCCCCAGAGTCAGGCCTTGTGAGGAGGAGCCCAGGGGATGGAGGGAGTGAGGACAGTGTTGAGGAGGAAAGGGAGAAAGGCCACATCCTTGAGGCCTGTGCTGTAGAGAGAGAGAAAAGGGCTGGCCGGGGCTGGGAAAGGAGGTTGGTGGCTCAATGTCTCTACAAGAAGCCCCCAAGTTAGGTCACAGTCCCTTCAGGTACATTTTTGAAGTAGGGTTGTGAAATTTGGAAAACAACAATCAAAAAGCCCGGGGACACTAGGTAAATGTGAATTTCAGATAAAAAAATAATTTTTCAATAGAAGTATTTTATCTGGTAATCCTACTTCAAAGGCTGGTTCTCTGAGATAAATCTCTCTGTGTTTTGCTTTTATGCTTTCCTTCCCACTCTTATCACCTCCAGTCAGCACTTATCTCTCCTGAGGGCCCTGCCACAGCCTCCTGACTGATCTTGCCTGTTGTCTCCCTCCCCTCCAGGTCAATCTGCACTCTAGAATACCAGATTACATAATAACCCTGCTCAGAGAATACAAATGCTGAAAGGGACTTTGTTGTATTCATTCATTCATTTTCAAAGTAATCTCTACCCCCAATGTGGGGCTTGAACTCACCGCCCAGAGATCGAGTCACAGGCTCTACTGACTGAGCCAGCCAGGCACCCCTGAAAGGGACTTTAGAATCCATGTTTCCACAGTTTCTTGGACACATCTGATGAGGTTTTTGGGGTGATAGTGGGGTTCATGGGGTTGGAGCCAACAGCCAAGAAAGAATTCTTGAAGACATCTTTGGTGCAAGAAAGGTGATTTGATTAAAGCACGGGGACAGAACCCGTGGGCAGGAAGAGCTGCCCTGGGACCATGAAGAGACACTGGTTATATATACTATGGAGCTGGGGGAGGTAAAGTCCAGGGGAAGTTTCTAGTGAGACTTTCATATGCTAAAGAAGGCTCACAGGATATTGGCGGCCTTGCCTGTGGAGAGAAGGTTGTTTTCATTCTAGCAAAGCCATCAGCATTGAGACTGTAGGGAGTTCCTGGAGAAACGTTTTACTCTGCCAGCCTCAAGTATTTGTCAATGGGCTGCAGGTTATTAGGAAATTTAATTCTATCTGCCATTTTCTTCTGCTTTTGTTTCCCACATCAACGTCTGTAAGGAAGACCAGGCAAGGGACTTTTCGAAAGGAAAACCAAGGCCCAAGATGGGATTACTTATGTCAGGCCGAGTCACAAACCTGGGCTTCATACCTAACCTAATTGCAGTTTCAACCTCTCCCAGAAATGTAGTCTTAACTGGTCCGTCGGGAGTGTCTGGTCAGCACCGACAAGGCAGTTTGTCACAAGGGCCCTCTCCGGCCTACAAAGGAGGGTGAGGTAATCTGCATGATAAGACCCCTCCCGCCTCCCCCTGGGGGAATTTCTTCGGGTTAGCCAACAGAGGAGAGAGAGGAGATGGGGGGAAAACTAGAAAGATAAAGGCCTGCCTCCACGGCCTTCTCACGCTCCTCAGTGCCTCCGAGGTCAGAACTCCATTTTCAGCGTCTGACCCCCTTGTAACAAGCAGGAGCCCTGGAGTCTACCCAGATCCTGGTCTGGCCAGGGAACCCACTCATGGGGCATGTGGGGACGGCAGCCCTCCAGAAGCACCAGTTGGGGGAAAAAAGCTGGAATCTCAGACCTCATTGCCCGCTCCACCCCTTCCCACACCCATCCTGCTGCTTCCCCTTGGGCTCTGCTACTGAAGCACTGTAGGGCTCCCTAGACCATGTTCTGGGGGCCTCCCAGAAAGGGGAATGGATGAGGAAATCCGTTAACTGGACCTCTCAGGCCCCCTTCCCGGTTAAAGCCCTCCTCCCCCAAGCAGGACCCTCTGAAAGCCCTGTCTCCCCTCCCCCCGCAGCTCCATACTGGGTGTGGGGGCGCAATTGGCCTGCTGGACCAAGGGCATGGTGGTTGTACCACCTGAGCCACTGCACCTTCTCCCTACAGAGCTTCCTCAGGACCTATCCCGGGACCCAGAGCCAGCAAGGAGGGGACAGTCAACCTAAGTACTGCTCAGGTGGTAGGGACATCAGGGGAGATCAGAGATTGGGAGGGGGAGTTCTTATGACCTACATCTCCTACAGCCTCTGTGGAAAAGCCAAGAACTGAAGGGCCACTGCTCCCGCTCTCTCTCTTTTAAAATAATCATTAAAAAATAAAATAAAATAAAAGAGATGCTGAGGGTGAAGTATGTGTGGGAAGGGCACAGGACTTCCGTGGCCTCCAGGAGCACCATTCTCCCCAAATCCCTACGAGTTCACCAACCCTGAGGCTCCCCGAACCCCGTCCTTTGGGGTTTTGCAGAGGCTTCATGACACACGCTCGGTTGCTTAACTCATTGGCCGCTGGGGATGGATGGACCCTCTCCCCTCCCTGGAGGAACTTCCAGTCCCACCCTCCAGTCACTGAGTTCTTACCGGCCTGCATCCTTGTCACCTAGAGGCTTTCGGCAAGTCAATATTAACACAGCAAAAGACCCTTTATTGTCCTTCGTAATAGGAAACTTCCAGGATTTAGCAGCTCTGTGCCAGGAACAGGATGAAGACCAAATATACATTTCTTGTTATAAGCTACAAATACCACACCATGGATCTGTTTAAATCTTAGGCAGATAGTCACCTTATACTAAAGGGTAAAGAAATTCAATAAATCAAACCTCAATAGAGAATCTAGTGAATCCTTTAAAGAGGCTTCGTGAGGCCTGACCTGCCCTGCACAGGAAGAGGACCATGACTGAGTATTGCTAGCATCACAGGTCCCAGGGTCATCCTGGCCGTCTCCACCCTCAGGGATCCCCCTATCTTGCCCTCCCTTGCCCCTGAGCATGTAGTCAAAGGCCCTCACGAGCCAGGGAACACTGCAGGCTGGAGAGCACACCCAAGCAGGAGTATAGGGTAGCCAGATGGCTCCTGGAACATCTCCCACAAGCAGATAAAAATGGGGACATGGTGTCTGGGGAAGGTCAGAAATCAGACCATATACCCCCATTGTGGCCACTGTGTCTGTTTGCGCACAGGGAGGGAGTGGACCCTTAAGAGGTCCCTGGAGCCCAGGGAAATGGAGGCTTGGGCTCCCTTGCTCTTCCCTCGTTGCCTGGAGAACCAGTGGGATAGGTATTGGGGCTTCACAGGGGGTGGATGGGATAGCCCATGGGAAGAGGAACAGGGACGCAGAGGCCAGGCCCTCATCCCAGGTCCCAGCCTCTCTGGGCCCCACTTACCATGCTGGTCTGGGCTGTGTATTGGCTGGAGCTACCTGATGAGGCTCCAGGAAGCCTGTAAGAGGGGAGGTAGGTGCTGCTATTTGGGCCTACGGAGGCCGGGGTCCTATGCTCAGCCAGAGCCTCTTGCCTAGAGGCCTGGCTCCTTCTAGGGCATGGGGCCACGGGGAGTGGGCAGCAATGTTGCCACTGGTCCCAGACCAGGTGTCGTGGGATTGCTGCAGGGGAGGGGGACAGGGAGCCACCGACGCCCTGCTTTCCCTCAGGTCCTTGCTCAGGCCAACAGACACCCAGACGTTAAAGTCTCTAGGGTGCGGGCTTCTCCCCAGGTTCAGGCCCAGACCGCTCCAGGTACTGCACAAACCCAACGGCCCTGATGGCCTCCCAGCCCCCACCCTTGCTCCCTCTAACCCATCTGCATCTCCCACCAGCATTGTGTAAACCACCCCACAATTTACACGGCTCCCCACCACCCCAAGCTCTTTGGCGACAGACCGTGGGCTACCTGATCGTATCAGCGGTGTCTCCCAACCCACCTCGGAGGTCCGCTGTACACTCATTCCCCAGCATGCACAACACTTTGAGGCCTCTGTTTGTATTTGTTGTTCCCTACACTTGGCACGTTCTTCCCCCTCCTGTCCCAAGGCCCTTCTAACAAATCACGCTTTTTTGGTGTCCACTTGGTGAGCCCTTGGTAGACGGGTGGCTGAAGGAGGAGCTGGGCGGTATCTCCTTGTCCTTCTCTACCCTGGACACTCACCTGGGACTGAGGGTTGCAGAAGTGGGAACAGGGCTGAGGAGATGCTGGGAACCAGGGTGAGCAGCAAGGGGGCCTAGAGGGCCCAAGCCCAGTAGAGGAGTTCCTTTTGCCCACTGCTGGGAATGAACTCCTTCATGAGGTGGGAGGACAGCTACAGAGGGTCCGTGGAGACCCTCAAAGTGGCCTCCGGCACCAGGACGCCTCAGGGTTCCCTGACCACCAGGTCGGGCTGTGACATTTTCACAGTAAAGGTTCGCACAGATGCTGGTCTTAGCTCACTGCACTGCAGGCTGGGCAAGTGCAAGAGTTGGGTGTAGAGGACATGGGGCAGGTCCTGACAGCCACCTGTGGGCAAGAGGAGCAGAGTCAGCAGAGTGGTGGGGTTGAAAGGACCCTGGGAAGGGGGCAGAAGAGGCTGACCTAGACCATCTCAGTGGGTTATGGGAGGGTGGGGGGTACACGGGGAGTGGTCCAAAAACACCAGAATGCTTTCCTCAGGGCAAGTGGTAGGTCAACAAAAAAGGCTGGGGAAAAATCCGAGAAGGGTCAACCAAGGTCGTGTGAAGAGGGTAAGGAACCTACTCACCCTGTAGTTCCCTCTCCTTCTTCACAAAGCTGTCCCGGAGGCCTTGAGAGGTGCCTGTTGTAACCAGTGGAGATGTTTGCAAAAAGTTGCCTTCCACTGCCAATCAGCACCTCCCTCACAGAGGTCTTGGGAGTCTGGGCTCCACCCAAGGGGTTACAACTGGCCTTGTGCACATAAAAGTGGTTTCCACCTCTTCCAAGGACAGGTTAGGAACACTTGTCCAAGCTAAAGACTTCCAGTCTCACAGTTCATTAATATAAATATAAACGGATTATAGTACGCTCAGGTACCGTACCAGTTGGATTTTGCAAGCGCGGTTGTGTCCTCCAATGCCACGTGGCTTTCTCATGTTCACACTTCTACAGGACTAACTAAAACTCCTTGCTTTACAACCCAGAGGCTAAGAAGCCCAGGACTCAAGTCCAGGCTGCCTTAACCAAAATTTCCTTCCCAGCTTGCCACATGCACAACCTCCCATTTTGGGAGCCAGGCACCTCAATGGCAGCTGGTTTGGTAGAACGTTGTTAGGTTCTTCTTTCCCAAGAGGACAGTCCAGAATATTGCCAAAGAACGTTGTGCTGAAGCTTCCTCTGGGACAAACAGGCTAGTACCCTGGTTAATCATTTTACCATAGGCTTACTCAGGGGGCAAATTCTTCACTTTCTGCCCCAAAGCCCTATCAGTACCTGCCGCCCCACCCTGATTTTAAGACAACTATGAAGAAAAGGACTCAACTCCACAAAGGGGCAGGTCAGAATATTGTTATACTGGCCACAGCATTTCAAAGAGTCCAATAATAGTAGTAGGCCTGGCTAGATTTGAGAACAATTTCTTGTTATGACGAACCAGAAATACAAGATTCCACGGAGAACTGGAACAGTTGACAGAATATAGTTGAACTTAATTAAACCTTCAAGGGAAATAAAAAAGAGGGTCAAACAAAGCCACTGAACGGAGAAGCCCAAGATTGGTTTGGGATAAACATAAGGATAACAGCCTTTCAGCGTGGGTACCTTCTGAGGCCTCCCAGAAGGGATCTGCCAGCATTCCATCCCCTTTTCTGAAGCATGTGCCAAATCAAATGGCTATTTCCTCTCCATTGCAGGTGTAAGCGAACCCAAAAGTATCTCTTTGGACAGGATACAAAGAGGAAAGTTTATACATCTAATTCCAGGGTAGAAAGTGCACACACGCGACCCAGCACACTCCTTATATGGTGTCAATGCCCACAGAAGTAACTTCAATCAAATCAGAGGCACTACCATGTGTAATCTATGTGGCCCTGCGGCTATGTCCGTGTTCCTAATTAACTACGCTAAAAATATCAATGTAGCAGAATGCATTTTTGAGCTCCAAGTTTGTTGAGCTCAACACTTTTAAGAGGCTATTAAATGTAGAACAGAATTGTTTCACAGAAACCTAGGCATTAAGAAGGAACACTGATGGGCTCTTACTAGGCCTTTTTCATGGGAACACAGAGATGAAATGTTAGAACGTCAGAGCATAGGGACAGGTGAAGGGAGGCAGAGGAGGAAGAGAGTGTTCTAGCCACAAGGCCACCACATTCATGTTCAAAGAGAAGTCAGAGCGATGGGGGTGGAGGAACAACCCAAACACAACCAAACAAAATCCAAGTCAGAGGAAAAAAGGGTTTCATACAACACAGTATCAAAAAAGTAAAAGGAACACACTAAAATGCACAAACTGGTGGCAAGTTAAGTCCATAGCCTATTGTGATAGGTCCTTCCAGCATCAATCAGGTGTCTTCTCCATCTGTTATTTCAAGGTTATTTACAGATGTGGTGACTTTTGAACAAGAGTCTCTCACAGGAGGGCGGGCAGGTTTCAATCATTGGTTTCTGGATCTGTTTGTGCCATATAAGCATCCAACTCGGCATCCAGGTGTCCTTTTGTTTTTGACATGTACGCATCCAACTGGTTGTCCAGCTGCTCCTTGGTCAGCACAGGGCGAGTGAGGGCACCTCTCCCTCGTCCACGGCCTCGGCCTCGGCCTCCAAAGCCCCCTCTTCCCCGACCTATCATACCCCGACCTGGCCCAAGGGGAAAAAAAGAAAACAGTTACAAGTAGGTTTAATGGGTGCTACGGCAAATGCCCCTTAGAGCAGTGGGGCCTAGCTGAGAAAGGCTGAAAGGGCAGGGCAAAGAGGAGAAATCTGGAAAAACAGGAAACACATTGGGTAGAAAGCAACACATGGAAAGCACACGTAATGAATCCCTGTTTACATGCTCATCTCTAAATGCTATTTAAAGACTTTTTATTCTATTGACAAAAGTAAAATAACTGACAAAAGAATCTTAATCTCTCCTAAAACAAATTATCTAAAGTTGTGAGGCCCACTAGAAGTTTATTAATTAAAATACATTATAGATAATCCCATTTAGTAAGAGGGAAGAAGTAACAAGGGCACAGAGAAACGGAGGTGTAAGGCTAGACAATTTTTAAGGTAAGCCTTATTAGAGAGCTTTCTGGAAAATCAGCTCATCTCTCCTCAAACGTACTAAAACTAATGAGCTGACCCCACATCAGGAGACTGAGGAGTTACTATGACATAGGAACAATGTGAGAAGATGGGGAAAAATATTTATAGTAGTCCCAGCCACTTCTATCTCAGATTCTAATTGCCTTCTAACAATTATGGTTATCTGAGAGGTGGTTTCAATCCACTTAACGAAACATACACAGCTTTCTGAAAAGCTACTTTAGACCCCTCACCCACCCCTGTGATGTCAGAAACCAGGTCAAGATAATTTGGAAACATGCTATTTCATCCTGAAACCCAAACGAGCTTGTACTTCACTCAGTGAGCCAAACATATAATGGGAGAGAAGAAACTAAGCCCTTGGCTATCAAATTTCCTTTTCTAACAGTTATTGTCCTTTGGCAACTTCAAGGTCATAAATTATGGAAGACCCACCACACACTATAAAAGGACCAAAGCCGATATACACAGGGGCTACAGGAATAGATTTGCTCCCACCCTAGACAGGTGTTGTTGAGAGTTTTCCACTAAGCTCTGTATCAGAAAACTCCCATGAGGTCTGGATTAACAACAGCAACACCATTAAATGCCTTTCCAATCTGGGTCATGATGAGGTCACAAGACAAGTAGCACTAAGTCTCAAAGGTAAGATTATCAACAAGAGTCAGTTAACTGACATGGTACCTTCTTGCTTTTTACCTTGATCAAAAAAGTCATCTGATTTCCCACAGACACAAACTTTACCTTGACTTTACTTGGCTTCAACATCAATACCCAGCTCCAATCTCACCATCCTTTTCCACTCTTTCATTTTTGTACATCTCCCTCTTCTTTATTCTTATCTTAGACTCAAAGTGGGGTTTTGAGCTACGGGATGGGGTGTGTGGTGGTGGGGCAAGGACAGAGAAAGGTAAAACCTCAAACTGACCATCTTGTCATTTTAAAGATACAATTTAAATTTGCAAGAACCTGGAAAAAGACTGCATATGATCTGGCTCTGACATGTACCTGACTGGTTCTTAGACAACCCATGACAGACTTTTGCACTACCGCATGTGAATTTAGAAAGTAAGCCAGTTTCAAAAAACAAAACAAGACAAACAAATAAGCCTGCCTATGACTTGAAGCTGTGCAGAAAGGTGGCTCTGAGTTTTGAAGGGAGAGAAGTAAAAGGGAGCTATTCTCTGAAGTTGGTAGCTGACTAACCTCTACCACCGATTCCGCCACGACCCATAGCTCCACGCCCTAGGCCCCCTCTCCCAGGACCTCCACGACCTCGAACACCACCTCTTCTTAAGCCCATTCGGGGAGCTACGGCTCGTCCACCTCGGAGCAGGTTTTGACCTTGGAGAGGAGGCATACAATGTATATGCAGGTAAATCCAAGAGAGACAAAGTAGACTCTAACCAAAGGAAGGCGGTGAAGGTTAAATGAGAGTTAATTCAGTTAATTTTTAGGTTGGGGGGGGGGGCAAGCTGCACACCAAGTGTGAATAGATCAAGCTGCTCTTTATTCAATCAATTCAAAGTGTGACCACAAACCCATTTTGGGAAGAAGCTGGGAGTTAAGTTAATTAGTAAGTACATACAATAAATATCTACTGAATAATCAGACATGTGCCTAGCATTAAGGTAGATTTAAAAATCAATAATATGGTTCCTGCTCTCAATACGTTCTCACAAGGGACGAGAACAACATGGGGAACAGCGTTAACAGTGCCCAAAATGTAACATGTAGCTAAGTGCTATGGACCAACTTATCCTCTCTTTTTTCCAAATAGAACAGCGTGTTTCACTAGTACTGGGAACAAAGATAGTTAAGATACAGGCCAACAGACCAAAAATTTCTTAGATTTGACTTATTTCTAGAACTTGAATGTGCTTTTGATTTAAGCAGCAGCAGGGTGTTTCAAAATGGAATGGAGATGACATGAATTACCTGTTGTTACGCAGGTCATAGCCTCTCACCATTGCACATTATCAGAAAAGGAATGGTATCGATAAAAGACATGCAGCACTATTAAAAATACGTGATTTCAAAGGTTATTAATTATATTAATACAAATTCAGGCTTAAAGATGTTAAACAAATGTGTCCATAAGCAGCCCAAGAGAAAAGGGAAGGGGTAGGGCCCGACAATGTTCAAAGTACACAGCACTGACCTCGGAGCGACATCCCGCCCCTAAGCAGGGTTCTGGTGGCACGTCCCCCTCGTAGTCCTCCTCTGGGCAAGCCTCTCTGGATTATGGGCAGGCCTCGTCCTCCGATCGCTCCCCTGGCCAGGGTCCCTATGGGTCGGCCTAACCGTGCCTGGATGTTACTCTTACCCAGGCGCTGCTTTAAGCTCTTCTGGAAGAAAAGGTGTTGGGGGATTGAGATCAAAAAAGCATTCCAGTGGCATCTAGCAACTCAAAGTGCAGAGAAAAAGAAGCAGTGAGATGGCTGTGTGCAGGGAGATAAACTTGCCGTAGGTGTCATATAAAGAACCTAATCCAGAAACTAGCCTTTGCCTCAGAAAAGAAGAATTCTGATCCAGAGCTTTTATGAAAGCTTGAGTATGGTCCCATGAAATTGGCATCAACACAAATCACCTCACTAGTTTGGCTACAGAAGCCATACACCACTACATGAAACGTAAGTTTTAGTAAGAACTCTGTATTTCAAATCCTGGATTCTGTTTTTGAACCACAGGTCGACAATGATATGACTGGATTCATACTTGCCCAAGGACTACCACTGTCTTCAAAGGCTTACTCAAACACCAAATGAAGTTCATCACACTCTGGGAAAAATTTAAATTACAAGTTCATCTGAATTCTTGTCACTTAAAAACAAGATTTGATTTTTCAGTCAAAGAGGCCAGTGTGTTCCATTTTTCCTCTGAGTATCTATCTCCAGACGATCCACTTTTTACCTTAAGATGTAAATAAACACAAAAAAGTCAAACCTTTCCTTACATTTCTTAAATAGCCATTAATTCCATGTCTACCCTTGCAAACAGCTCCATTAAGCCAATACGATAACTTTTAATTCAAAATAAACATGTAACTCAACTGTATCTCCAGAGAGATAGCCAAACTTGTGTTGGAATTAGGTGAGCTATAATCACGAAACTAAAGGACATATTTGAGGACAAGGACATACTGCACATGGAGATATTCAATAATCTGTCCCTCAAAGAAAAACTATTAAGACCACATCTTAATAAGTTAAAAATCCTTCAAAAGAAAAGGATCCTTCAAATCCTTCAAAACTGTGTAGCCTTGAACACAACCAAGGCCCCAGCAAACCTGTTTTCCCACAAAACCATTAGCCAATAGGAATGAAAATAAATTCTGTATGTCCTCCTGCTTCACCCATAAATGACTACCAATGATTTTTTTATTAGCTTTCTAGCACAAGATAATAAGCTAAACAAAGGGGCAGTTTCTGAACATTATGCACTTAGGCATAACTGACCTTAAGAGCCTGTCGTGTCACCCTGACAGCACACAATTAGGAAGTCAGGACTTCATTCATTTTTCAAATCTCTTATGTTCAGTGATTCTGAGCATATTCCCCCCAAAATCTGTGCTTTAGTGGGGAATGCACAGTGCTTACAAGTCCTCCCTTCTTAATCCTTAGCTGCCAGCCAATACTGGACTCTAACAGACAGGAAGCTTAAGAATGTCAACTATACCACCTAGTTTTCACTCTACAGCTGTGCTCTACGCTAAGGTGGCCACTAGCCACACGTGGCTATTTCAGTTACAAGTAAATAAAATTTTAAAAGCTCCTCAGTTACACCAGCCACATTTTAAGTACTCAATAGTCACACATGGCTAGGGGCTATCATACTGGACAGCAGATACAGAATATTTCTATCACTGTGTAAGGTTCTATTGGTCAGCTCTACTCCAGAGGCTGCTTTCTGCACAGCTACATTTAAAGCTTCTTCTTGGGGCACTCAGTCAGTTGAGCGCCCAGCTCTTGATTTCATTTCAGCTCAGGTCATGATCTCAGAATCTGGGAGTTCGAGCCCAGCATCTGGCTCCGCGCTGAACGTTAAGTCTGCTTAAGATTCTCTCTCCCTCTGCAGCCTTTCTCCCCTGCTCACATACACTCTCTTAACCAAAAAAAAGAACAGAAAAAAGAAAAAAGAAAAGAAAAAAAGAAAAAAGTTTCTTGAAAGGTCTTCTGGAATGATCTGTCAGGGGCTTATCTTCAGCAATTTATAATACCTACTTTTGGAAAATGGTGGTGCCTTTTTTTATGGCTTTCCTAAGTCAGGGACAAAATATAAGAACTCCCAAGGCTTAAGGTAGCTGAAGCAGAAGGCCTTGTTTATTTTTGGTCAGTGAGCCCAACAGTTCAGGGTGGGGGTGGGAGGGTGTTATATTTAACTGCTGAATTTATGCACAGCCATGCAGTGCTACCAGTTAAAGTCCTTACAGTTGCATGGCATCGCCCTCCAGACGCCCAGCCACAGCTTGGACATATCCTTCCACAGCCACTCTCCGGACTCGCATATAAAGTCTATGAATAATAAAGAGCAGGTTTTATTTCAGGTCTGAACAGAATTCTCTCTTACTGGTAATTTGAAAGAGAACCCACTTATTCTTTAAGTACTCAGTGCTCTCACTCTATTTTACTGACAAAACTTTAGGTGCTGTGGAGATGAAGGCCACCCTATTCTTTCTATATTTTAGCACTGAAAACGTTTGATTAAGGCTGTTCAGACTTCCTGTGCTAGGAGAAAAAAATAAAGTTATTTCCATAATTTGTAACTCATTTAACAGGGAATAAAGGATTTTCTGAGATCATCTAAAACAAATCAAAAATTTTTTTCTATTTTTTGGCTTCAAACAAAAGACGTTTATTCTCTCACAGTTCTGGAGGCTACAAAACCCAAAATTTCTTTGTGGTAAAATCCAGCAAATCTACTTTAAGGCCAAAGGATCAGGAAAAAAGAGATCAATACTCATTGATAACACAGACACAGGTCATACTGATGGCAAACTACCTAAAAGAGAAAGACAAGAAGTTACTTATTGGTACCTGCTAAAATGGGAATTCTCTGAACTTCTATTTCCTCCAGAGAAGTTTCTGCTTTTGCCCTGAGCCACCTTGCAATCATCCATCATGTCCTGACAGCCTCAGTGGACTGCCTGACAGAGATCACCAGCTGCTTCTGGAGCATTAAGACCCATCCTCTCACCTGCTTAAGTTTTAATGCTGCCTGGACAGAGGGTCTATTCTCCATCTGCTGGGCCAGTCTTCTGTTTCTGGCACTGGCTAGCTGCTGTTGTTGCTGCATCGAAGCCCGAATATTCACTGGCATCGGCTGTTTGTTCTTCAGCATATTAGTAAAGCTTCAAGGTCGAACAAAATGGATGTTTAAATAAAAGCTTTATTACAAAACATTTATTGGCATTTTCATGGCTTGCTAGACCAGGAGCTCCAGATCCCACGAACTTTTAAGTAAAGTGGTACACTTAGATCAAGGCTGATGTGGGTTAAAGACTCCTCTGCTTCCACAAACTTGCAAGAATCAGAAACTTAGAAATGCAGCTAAGTGCAGCACATTCAATCAAAAAAGATAACAAGGGCTCAGGCTTTTAGAGAGGTGGAAGATATGAAAAACACGCAGTAAGCAGATATGATGACAACAAAAGACAGAAAATGTGGTTTCAAAGACACACAAAGAAAGCCAAAATGTTGGGGGAACCTGAGGGTGCACTGTAAGAACAAATGTAAGGAAGGACTAGAGCACCTCACAGACCACAGAATTAGCACCCCCATATAAATCACAGGAGTGTAACGTATTTTCATGTAATATGTAAATATGGAGAATAACATGTAAGTATGTAACTTAATAACATGTAAATATGGAGAATCAGTGTGTATCACACCCTAAGATATAAGCAGCACATATGCTTTGGAAAAGGCAAAAATAAACGTCAATTAAATCTTTTAGTGATCTAACATCAACTTAATAAAATCATTGGTCCGACTTTAGCTCAGGTCACGATCTCACAGTTCGTGGGCTCGAGCCCCATGTTGGGCTCTGTGCTGACAACTCAGAGCCTGGAACCTGCTTCAGACTCTAGGTCTCCCTTTCTCTCTGGCCCTCCCCCCACTTGCTCTGTGTCTCTCCATTTCGAAAATAACAAACATTAAAAAATAAAAAATAAAGTCATTGGTCAAAGGCACTCAATAAAGAGCTCTCAGAGACAGAAACTGCTTTAAGTACCTTAACTTCTCTTAGGCTTAAATGATTACTTTTCCTGATTCCAAGTGATTGCTTCTGAGAAAATCAAGATTAATTTAGTCACCGAACAGCTTGTGAAGACACTCTTCTATTATTCCTGTCGAAGTAAGTTTAATGGAACGAAAAAGAACAACACTTAACTGTAAAGGAATCTAACACAAAAACAAACTAAAAGCAGTATCGAAAGAAAGAGAAATGGAGCAAAGCAAGTGCCTCTTACAAGGCCCAAGAATGGCATTCGAGGGCCTTCGGACATTCCACAGCTTGCTGCCTGCCTCTTACAGACCAGACAAGACACTGCCGGCCTCGGACGGGGCAGCAAGCCCAGTGCAGCCACGGTACCATGCTACCGAGCTGCACCACCCCTGTATCAATGTAAAAAATGTGAAGAGAGAGAGGGTGTGAGGAGTCTTCTTAAAATACATCCCACCAGAGAAATATTTCAGACAGCTTAACATAAAAATCTACTGACAAGGGGTTTTGAAACAACCGCCCAATTTGTTTTGTGTACCACGTAAGATGCAACTAAACACAGAGGTCTGTAGCCTTCTGTTGGTATTTAGTTTAAAATTGGTTTTTGTGCCTTGGACCCCAGGGCCAATTTAAGTAATGTTTTCTTATGAACGAGCTGAAGTTGCTGTTGGCTGCCTCACCGCTCATTTAGAGACATCTTGGTGGTGCTTTTTAGCACAACTTTCGGCGCTGACTGTGCAGCCATCTTCAAATCCCGAGAATCTACAAAGGACAATAGGCAGAATGAGCAAGTGAGGAAAAGGACCTCCTCATTTCTACAGGCGTCAAGGGCTTCACCCAACAGCGAATGAAAAGAAAAGGCCTGTATCAACGGCGATGGAAGAGCCCACCAAAACGCATATCGGGCGCTTAAGTCTACACCATAGTTACCGCAAACCGCTACATCTCGAGGCCACAGGAAAGTGTCTTCCCAAACCCCCAAGATGGCAGACGCACGCCAAGCTGGGCAAGCTGAGGGGGGCTAAGTGCATCCAGGACAGTCCTCCTCCACCTCGGCTGCAGGGAGCTGCTCACCCTCCCCAAGCAGACCCCGATCGCCGGCGGCCAGGTCCGCGGCCAGCGGCGGGGAGGGAGGGAGGGAGGGAGGGAGGGCTGGCCAGGCGCTCCTCACGGGCAGCCAACGCGGAGAACCATGACGCAGGCAAAGCCGTCTGGAAACTGGCTTCCGACTCCACACCCAGGCGGGAGCCCTCGCGAGAGCCGGGCGGGGGGAGCAGGGAAGGCCTCCCGAACCCGCGGCCGCCCGCGGCCGCCTCTACGCTCCGACGCCCCCTCACCGCCCACTCAGGGCCGCCGGCCCAGGCCCCGCCCCCCGGGGCCTCCCGGGCCGCCCCGCCGCGGAAACGCACCGAAGGAAACGGACGCCAGTGCGCCTCCCGGGGCTGCCACCACGCCTGCGGCGCGCGGGCCGGGGTCCGGCCGAACCTGAGCTGACTGGGTGGGCGGTTGGTTAGAGGTGTAAGCGGTAGGTCGCTAGGTTAGCTCGTTGTAGCCGGGCGGCTGTCTGGTCGGCCGGTCCGCCTGCTCGCCCGGCCAGCCCTTTCCTGCCCTGAGTCTGTGCCACCACAGCCGCCGTCGCCGCCGCCGCCTCCCGCTCGCTGCCCAAAACAAAATGGCCGCCACGCCCAGAGCCGAGTGGGACCGGCTAAAATGGCGTCGACGCAATTACGTATGACGCCGGATCCGCGCACAGCTAGGGGGCGAGAAGATTTGCGCTACGCCTGCGCGGGGATTGGGGCGGAGCCCTAGGGAGAAGACAGGTCCTTAGCCAAGCGGTGGCCGAGGTGCTCTCTGCTCCGCCCACGGAGGGGCGTGGCCAGTGGTTGCTGTCGGGGGTCGTCAGGGCATTACGACCGCGGCCGCGCGGTTGTGTTCTGGTCCGCTGGCGGAGGTTCGGCCTCGCGGGCGAAGGTGGTTGTGTTTCCTTGCGGCGCCCCAACCCTGGCCGAGGCAGACCCTGTAAAACTGTTTAGTGG